GGAGCCGTCTTGCAGAAAACAAAAGAAAAATGAGACCCTGCAGTCGTTCCTGGAGCCGTCTTGGAGCCCTCTTGGGCTGCCCTGGAGCCTGTTGGAGCCCTCTGCGGAATGGTCTTGAAGCCCGCGCCGAGGATCTGGAAAATGTCCGGGACCATCGCGGCGGCCTGCGAGGCCCGGGACGCCGAACCCCCTTGAAAACACAGCGAAAATGAGCCCCGGTACTCGCATGGAGGGTCGGGCAGCTGTTTTCGGGTCCCTGGGTTAGAACCATCGCGCGCGCTTCGCGCGCGCGCTCAGGTTCTAGCCCAGGTCGGGGGGGCGCTGGACGATCTTGGACAACGCTATCAAGCACAGGCGCGCGACGGCATCTGAGGATCTTCTGGGGTGTTCCGCATGCTTCGTCAACTGGCTGTTGGAGGCACCTCTTGGGTGCTTCTTGGGGGGGCGTCTGAGGGTCCCTTGGGGGCATCGGTTCTGCAATCTGAAGCCGTCATTGGCCGTCTTGGCTGCGTGGAGGCCCGACTTGAGGCCACCTGCGGCCAGATTGAGGCAATCCGGAAGCCTCCCAGGGGCCTCCTGGAAGCAGTTTTGACGCATCGAGGGTACTCTTGGGCTATTTGAAAGCCTCTTGGACGTCTTCTGGTGGCCTTTTAGGCCCTTGGGGAAGCTTTTGGGGTCCTCGTCGGACCACTTGGGGGCCTCTTGCGGCCTCCTGTGGGCCTTGTGGGGGGACCGCTCTGCTGTTGGGTCGCGTTCCCCTTCTTGGGCCTCTCTTGGGGCTCTTGGGGCCCTCTCGGGCCGTCTTGGGCGCCTCAAGCACCGTTTTGGGGCCCTCGCGGGCCGTCTTGGGGCCCTCTTGGAGGCCTCTTCCTCTATATGGGAGCGGTATTGGAAGCCTCTTGGGCCGTCTTGGAGCATCGGGATGCCAAAAGGCAGAAAAAAAAACGTCAAAGCCCAATCGTAAAACAATGTGTTGTGCCTCTTGGGGCCACCTTGGGAGATCTCTTGGAACCTCGTCGGCCCTCTCGGGAGCTTCTTGGGGGCCTCTTGGATCCGATTGGGGGCCTCTTGGGACTTCCCGAGACCCTGTCGGGGTAGAAAGCTCGGATTCTCGGTTCGTGTTTCCCTTCTTGGGCCTCTCTTGGGGCCGTCTTGGGGCCCTCTCGGGCCGTCTTGGGCGCCTCAGGCACCGCCTTGGGGCCCTCGTGGGCCGCCCAGGGCCCTCTTGGAAGCCTCTTCGGCTATCTTGGAGCTGTCTGGGAGGCCTCTTCCTCCTCCTCGTCCCCCTCCTCCTCCTCCCACTCCAGCTCTCTCTCCTCCTGATCTTCCTCCTCCTCCTGCAGCGTGTTCCGGAAGGCTCCCGCCGGAACATGCTGTGCACAAGTGCTGTCACTGCTGCCGCCACCGTGCCCTGGGTGGTGGGTCAGAGGCCTCATGGGTGTTGCTTTGGATCTCGTGGTTGGCCTGGGACGTCGTGAAGGCAGTTTCGCAGCTTCTCGGTAGCCGTTTTGGGACCGTTGTGGGGCCTCCTCGGGCTGTTTTGTGACCTCTGTAGGCCTCGTTTGGGCCTCCTGGGTGCCTGTTGGGGGCATCCTGGGGCCTCTTGGGGGCTCCTTGGGGCCTCCTGGGGCACTCTTCAAGCGGGAGGGTCGAATTTTGGAGTCGTGGTCCCCCTCTTGGACGCATCTTGGGGCCGTCTTGGGGCTCTGTTGGACTGTCTTGGGCGACTCTGGGGCCGTCTTGGGGCCCTCTTGGGCCGTCTTGGGGCGCTCTTGGGAGCCTATTGAGCCATCTTGGAACGTCGGACAGCCGAAAAGGCTGGAAGGCCAAAATCGTTCGAAAACCTTCGTAAACTTGAAGATTTCGGCCTCTGGAAGCGCTCTGGAGAGGCGTCTTGAAGCGTCGTGGAGTGCCTTGGGGCGCCTCTCGGGCCGTCTTGGGCCTGTCTTGGGCGTCCTGGAGCGGTCTTTCGGCGACTCGGGGCCCGCTTGGGCCGTCTTGGGAGCCTCTGCTGGCCCTCCTGGCCCATGGGGGGTCGGAGGCGGCGGCCTCCGAGGCCCAGGACGCGGAAACCCTGTCAAAACAGAGGGAAAATGAGCCCCGGTCCCGCCATGGGGGGTGGAGGCACCTGTCCCGGGGCCCCCGGCCTCGCCCCCAGGGATAATATATATATATATATATATATATATATAGATCAGTTCGGTCAGGACTCGGATGCCAAGGGCGAATATACCAACAACGTAAGAGAGCACAGCTCAGCTTCACGCAGCATGATAAATTTCAACTCTGCACGGCGCAGCACAACGCCCTTGGCAAAATACATAACCATGCATTGCAATTGCCCGTCACCCAGGTAAGTGTCTTCAACACGCGTCCATGCCGTACCTCTGTATACTCCTTCTCCGGGTTCGTGTGTCAATCTTGTTCTAGCTGCAGGATCGTAAACCCTACGGAAGTCACAAGTTAGCCGCCCGCGCCAGCCTGCGGACATGTCTGATGGTGCGACTGGGGTATGCACTGGTACAAGAGAGGGGTGGTGGTACGCCGTTCCTCCCCTTCCTCATCCCGCCACCTCCCCCCAAGAACTCCGATGTCAACGTCGACCCCCATAGATCTGAACCCCTTCCCCGGGACTGGCGTTTCCTCCTAGGCCGTTTTCGGGCGAGGGCCCCGGGGGGCAAACACTGCCAAACACCCGCCGCCGGGACCGCTCTCGCACCGATCGGAGGTGGGGGTCCTCCTCCTCGTTCCCATCTCCCCCACCCTCCCCCCTTGGGAGCAGGATGGAGGGGGGGGCACCGATTTGGACCCCCTCATGGACTCCCTCCTCCTCCTCCTCCTCCTCCTCCTCCTCCTCCTCCTCCTCCTCCTCCTCCTCCTCCTCCTCCTCCTCCTCCTCCCCCCCCCCCTCCCTCCCCCCCTGGGAGCGGGATAGAGGGGGGCGGACACCGATTTGGAACCCCTGCCTGCGCGGCGGCGTGTGCGGCGCGCGCGCGCCACCTCGGGAGGATTAGGTGTTGAAGAAGAGGTGTTTTCTGTGCAGAGGAGGAGGAGGAGGAGGAGGGGAGGAGGAGGAGGAGGAGGAGGAGGAGGAGAAACTTGTCAGGAGGATGTGGAGGATGTGCAGGATGACAGCCGCCTGGCCGCGCCAAGCCCCTCTTTCTGTCCTTGCGCTGTGTTTGCTTGCCTCGCGTGTGCTCTGTATCGCGCCGTTGCTGACACCTCATGCGTCTCGCCCCCATGGCTTGCCAAAGAGGAGAAGGAGGAAGAGGAGAAACTTCGAGCCTGGAGGAGCACACCACCTCAAGGAGAAGAGGACGGACGGCCAAGCGCTGGAGACGAAAGCAAGGCCGTCCAGGGGGGAAGGAGGAGGAGGAGGACGAAGAGGAGGAAGAGGAGGAGGAGGAGGAGGAGGAGGAGGAGGGAGACCGGGAGGGAGAGGATGATGATGATGATGATGAGGAGGAGGAGGAGGAGGAGGAGGAGGAGGAGGGGACGAAAGAAAGGCCGTTCTGGGGGGGAAGGAGGAGTGAGAGAAGGGCGAACAAGGATTACGTATCTCATCGGTTTCCATGATCAAAACGGCTCGTCGGAGGGGGAAGGAGGAGGGGATGGGTGGAGTGAGGTTGGAGGAGGAGGAGGAGGAGGAGGAGGAGGAGGAGGAGGATGCGGTCAGAAGAGAGGCAGCCTCGGGCGAAGAGCGCGCCTCTGCTGCAAGAGGCGGAGGGAGGAAGAGCTGGAGCGAGAGGGGGACGGGAGCAGCGGCAGCGGCAGCGGGAGAACGCGAGGACGAAGGCGAGGGGAGCGGGGAGGCGGGGAGAGAGGGAGAGAAGGATAAATCATATCTCCATCACAGACTGTCTTGCTAGGGCCACGTGGACCCTGGCGTGGCTGCCGCTGCCTTCGAATGTCTGCTCCTCGTCAAGGCAGGCTCGCGGTCGGGAAAGGTCGAGATCACCATGGGTTAGGGGATGGAAACACTCTGGCATGGCCTGCACGCCGTCTCTGCCGACCTCCCGCGCCGCAGATGTCGAGGATGCATTGCACGTGTTGCCTGGGCCTGTCCAGGCCCAGGCTGTCTGACGCTTCGGGTCCGCGAGGCGAAACAGTTTGCCAAAGAAAGAGAAAGAGAGAGAGAGAGAGAGAGAGCAAGGGAGATACAGCCAGACCGTACAATAAGGATGCACGATAAGGATGCAAGGGCCTGGAAGGCCATGTCCACACTTTGCGAGCGGGGCGCGGCCAGCGAAAGCGGCCAAGGATGGGCCGACGGGGAAAGATGCGTCTCATCCTTACTATGCGGGTTGACCGTGATAAAATGTAATGGACCGATGAATGAGCTCATGAAGTCCTCAGAAATTCGGCCAGGCAAGCAGCGCTGGCCTCGTTACTCAGTTTAGGACTCTGAAGAGGTTCCCTTCCCAGACCTACCGAACGAGGCGAGCGCGCGGTCCTCCATCGAAATTGGACATCAAACATCATGCCACAACACATCACGGCGTGGCAGCCCAGGGAACCCGGCCGTCGCTACCCGAGGTGGCCACGCCTTCCTCTCCCTGCCTGCACTCCCCATGGCCCCGACGTCGCGCTTGCCTTCGCAGGGTGGACCCCTGGAGGTCTCGACCCCGTCCCCCGTTCCCTGGGACTGGATTTTCATCCCGAGTCGCCTCGCGGCACTCTTGACAGCTCCATTAGGGAACCAAAAAAATGACATAAACATAAAAACTCGAAGGTCCGCGCGGATTTCTCGGATCGGCGCTGGAGCCCCCCTGGCGGCGCCTCCACCGCCGCCCCTGGCCGATCCGAGAATTCCGCGCGGACCTCCGAGTTTTCACGCTCACGCCAGTGTTTGGCTCCCAATCCACCCCGGCCCGCGGAGGCCGAACGCCGCCGACAAAAAAAAACCCTCCGCCGCGGTGCTGCCACGACGCGGCGGGGCCTGGGCCCGCGCTCCCGCGGGCGGCTTTTCTCCTCGCCCTGACGCCGAGCCGAACGAGCTCCGGGTCTCGGCGGCGCGGCGGACGAAGTCCTCGTAGGACACGTCCCCGTCGCAGGCCGCCCCCTCTCCTGCGCGGGGGAGGGGGTGGGGGCGGCAGGAAAAGGGGGAGGAGGAGCGAGAGGAGGAGGAGGAGGAGGAGGAGGAGGAGGACGAGGAGGAGGAGGAGGAGGAGGAGGAGGAGGAGGAGGAGGAGGAGGAGTAAGAGGAGGAGGAGGGGGAGGAGGAGGAGGAAGAAGAGGAGGAGGAGGATGCTGTTGATGAAGAGGAGGAGGGGGAGGAGGAGGATTTATATTATATTAGAATCACCACTGGCTCCATCTTTATCTGTCTCTGACGTGTATTTGGGAACGGTCATGCTATTCAGAATTCTCTCGACAGCGTATGATATATACGTCTAGGGTTCTTCTGGTGCGGTGAGCCTGCTCTAACGGGACGCCTCGAAACCTGGGCCTCGAGATGACGGGACGTTGCCATGCGGGGCCGTCTCGGTCCCAGGGCACATCCCCACCGTCATCGACGAATGAGATGACTGCGGGGGGCATTCATTCTCCCACGGAACGCTATCCCGAGACAGCCCTCAGGAGCACGCGACCGACGAAAAGGCAACCCCAAAAACCAAGGAATATTTCCCTCTTTGGGGGGATCCCCGTTGGCTGATAGGCTCCCCCCCGCACAACGACCTACACAGCTAGCCCTCCCGCACGCGATCTATTCAGACTCCTTCTGTGCACTATTCCACGCCAAGGCTAGAGAATACGTGCGCGCATGTGATAGCAGACTAATGAAAATAGCTGTGCCAAGCATTACTTGACGCGAGGCTGAACAATCGGTTACTATACGCACGCGGGATAGGCGCCTGGAAGTGCACGCTCTGGAAGAGAAGCCTCCGAACTCGGAGGGCGTGACCTATAGACAGCTCGATTCACCTGAGCAGTCAAGGGAGGAAGAGAAAGGGTATCACCTCGCTCCCGATGAGTATTATGATATTCGTGTTCTGCATGTTGCCTCTCCACCATTGGTACGACGTGTGAGGCACCGTCCCAGAAAGTTATTGCACTGCACGCCCTGGGGACTTCTAGCCCTTCATGCCTTCGGGCCACTCCTGCAGTTCGCGCTCGAGGAATGTCGCTGGAGCTCTGCCCACTTTCTTGACTGCTCCCTCCGTGCTGGCAAAAGCCGTGTTCATCAAGATACGAAACTGTGGGTCGCGAAAGGCAACCGTAATATGCTGCATGCCGCGCTGGTAGATCTTCTCCACTCTGCAGTGTAGAATCAAATTGCACTTCCCCTCGACGGACCATTGATCGCACTCCGCGCATGCTTTCCAAAGTTCTGCCTGCAATGCTTCTTTGAGTGTGAAGACTGGTGTGCCACCCTGTCCGATCTTCACCTCCGCATACGTCTTGAGAGCTCCGCCCATCGCATAGATATGGGGTGGCCCGATATCGTGATCCTTCTTGCCCTTCACGTGGTCGGAGTAGTTCGATGTCTGTTCCTGCGTCGCCAGCACCACTGAGCACGTCTCCAGCATCAGCCACACGTCGTAGATGGCCGCCTGCATGTCGCGCACCTGTTGCGCGGATCGTAGAGTCTGCCTGGGTATAAGGCCGAGCATCGTCTTCTCGCCCTGCTTGGGTGCCTTGACTTCCTTCAGCCCGCCCCCCTTCTTTGACTGGTTTGCTGGACCTTGTTGGCGCCGAGGTCGCACGTATCGGCCGTGTCCAGTGGAGTCCTCTTTTGAGCCGAGGGTTCCTGGCATGTGTCACCGCCGACGCAGCACGTGAATGAGCACCCCTCAATAGCAAGAGGCGCGGTAGGGGCAGCAGCAGATGCACTCGTCGAAGGTGTGCGAAAAGCTCGCTTGAGGCAACACAAACTACGGAACACAATCCACACTGGTATGAAGGTGTCTGCATTTCCCATGTCATACGTGCTCGAACCAAGTGTAATCTCCCCTGCGCGTGCGCTCGTTTGACACGATGGCGTGTACAATCGACATCTCGAAATACTGAACAACAAATAGGGCATTGATTTCTAGTGACTCCTGGGTCAAGAATATATCGCATCCCATGACGTGATGTTTGATGTGCAATGAGCTGCTGGAGCGTCGAGAACCCACAGGGCGCAAGGAGCACCTAAGGCGTTTAGGGTCGTGCACTTGATTCGTTCAACTCCCTGTTCTTGTTGCTCGTGTGCAAGGGCAGGACGAAACATCAGACCAGCAAAAACTTTATTCGTAAATACTGCTGCCCGCAAATACCAGAATCTATTGCCAAGAACTCGTGTGCAACGTCAGATTCACAATTAAATCGTTCAGGCCAGGAAATCATGTCGTAGCCCCCTACTCACACCTTGCAAACATCTAACTCGTTTGACGGCTAGTTCCCCCGAGCTCGGTCGGATCCTCCATTCCCGAAGTATGTCACCGTTGCTCGTCAAAGCCGCGCGGGGCCCTGACCAGCCCGTGGCCGAGCCCTTCATAAGCACCCGAAGATAGCGCACAACAGTAGTATCTAGCCGAGCAGGTTCACTTTGGGGTAACACAAAAACGTCCAGGCCCGCTAGGCCCTTTTTTCAACCCCCGTACTCAGGAACAGTTCCCTTTTTGAGGCGTCGGAGGCCCCGCCCGTGCAAAAAAACATAATACTCCAAGCAGCCCTCATACCTTCAATACGCAGATCAAGTTCCACACCGTGGTTCCCCTTCATAAAAATAGCGTGCTCCTACATTCGTGCATGTGTTTTTGCCTCCCCGTGTGCTTCTGAACAATTATCCTGGAGTGCGCGGTTCGAAATCGTCGATCCAAGATGTGGTACACTATCCTTTTCAACATGTATTGGGAGAGACAGTCCTGAGAGAGGATCTCATTCATCGCCCTGTCGATCTAAGCAATATTCTCAATCACTTAAGGTATGCTCAGTCCCCGTGGGAGCAGGCGCTTGCGGAAGATATCATCCGCGAAGCCCGAGATCGAGCAGTCGATGATGGCCTTATTCAGTACTTCACATTGTGCTGCTGTGTATGTATGTGTGGGATGTGCTCGGATCTTTTCAATCGTCTCATGAAAAAAATCTGCTTCGGCATCTCACAAGAACCTTGGAAACCGCCATGCTTTGCCAAAACATTGTACTGCTCTGCTCCCAACTTGAAACTCTCAACTCCATTATTGAGCCTTTGCTCAGCACAAACCTGCCATTCAGGGCCTACAATGCGTTCGCTATGAGAGAGAGAGAGAGAGAAAGGGACTCCGTGCTTGCACACATGATAGCGTTGCTGAGATCGTGCAATTCGTTGAGATGTGGGATGCCAAGCGATCGGAGTGCATGTCCAACTCTCTGCTGTACAAGAATTGTTCCCTCGCGGCGCCTGTGCCTCAAAAAACCGTGCCATCAGCCAGGGAAACTGGAATCATACTCCTTTGCCTCCTCTCCCCATGTGTAAATCACTGAGTGCCAAAATTTCCAGAGCGTGCCCAGGAGAGGAAGAGGAGGAAGGGGAGGAGGAGGAGGAGGAGGAGGAGGAGGGCGAGGAGGAGGAGGGGGAGGAGGAGGAGGAGGAGGAGGAGGAGGAGGAGGAGGAGGGGAATGAGGAGGAGGAGGAGGAGGGAGGAGGAGGAGGAGGGAGGAGGAGGAGGAGGAGGAGGAGGAGGAGGGGAGGAGGAGGAGGAGGAGGAGGAGGAGGAGGAGGAGGAGGAGGCGGGCGGCGCCCCCGGCCGCCCAACCCTCCGCGAGGGCATGCCGGGGCACCATGGCTCTGCCGGAGGCCGAGGAGGGAAGGGTCGGAGCAGAGCAGCTCGGCTCTGCGCTCCCGCTCTCTGGGCGCGACGGCCTGCTGCGGCTGCAGTGGGAGCTCGACCACAAGAAGCCTTCCACGAGAGACGCAGCCCTGAGACCCCGAGACGTCCAGTGGTTTTTGGCGTGGGAGCGTCACGCTTTTCATAGCAAAACCATCGAAACACAAGAAACCCAGGGCACCCTGGAGGCAAGCAGGGTGTTTCTTGGCATGGGTCTCCACAGTGAGCGCTCTCCCTCTGGGCTGCAGCGCCGGGGGGCGCTGCGCGCGGCCGAAGCAGCAAATGGGGCTGCGGGATCGCGGATAGATTATGGGGGGTGACAGAGTGGAGGGGGAGAAACGTCCGCTCTGCGTGCCCCGTTGGGGCCCCACTTCCACCGCCCCCTTTCTCGCCCCCCCGAGCGCGCACCGCCCGAGCACGTCTTGACCCTTTTCTCCCGGGACCTGCCTTTCCACGGGACCGGCCCCGGGGCCTGGTCAGGGCCCCCGAGGCCGACCGTTTCGAGCGCGAACTGTTCACGACGCGAGGGTGTCCTGGGTCCCTCTCCTCCAGACCTGTCCTGGGCACGCTCTGGCCAGAACTTTGATGGGAATCCTAAAGTGGTCACGAAGGCGATCCCGGCAGCCAAGGGAGAGGGGAGATCCGCCGGGGACCTCGGTACCCGATCCAAAAAAGCTTTGAACCCAGGAAGGACGTGCGGCTGACCGTCGTGACGCAAGAGCTCGGATCAGATCCCGTCACTGATCCAGAAATTCGACGTCGTGCTTCTCCCAGAGAGGGCTTCAGCTCAGGGTTCTCTTTGTGGATGGTAATATGCCCCCAGTCCTCAACTTACGTAGGGACTGCGAAGTGTGCTTCGATGTATACCCAAACCGCGCAGGGCCGGCGAATTAAACATGTTGAGGATATTAGCGAAACGCTTGTCTTACATGATGTGCTGATGGCGTAGGCGAGTCGCTTGTTTTGGAGAGTTTGAAGATGTCTCCAGCGAGACGCTTGCTCTGCAGACTGTGTTGGGGATGTCTCGAGCGAAAAACTTGTTTTGCAGATTTTTCAGACATGGGTTTAACGCTTCTGCACTTAATGTAGCACGTGTCCAGGAAATCCAGGGGGATATGAAACATGTGCTCGTCGGGCCCCATGTCTGAGCAAAATGCGAAGCTGTCTCAAACTAGAGCCTCGTCTCAGAGTGAATTGCGAAGAAATCTTGAGCGGGGACCTCGTCTGTGAGGAGGAGGAAGAGGAACTGCAATCTCGTGTCTTTGCATGGGTTCCTTTCGCCCGCGAGCTGAAACCACGCGTGACTCCCATATCTTTAGTAGGGTTCTGGTCTTCTTTCCACCCGCGTCGCACTCGCGTCTCCCGCAGCAACCTCACTTCTCCTCCTCCTCCTCCTCCTCCTTCACCTCGTCCTCCTCCTCCTCCTCCTCCTCCTCCTCCTCTCCTCCTCCTCCTCCTCCTCCTCCTCCTTGCTCATGCACTCATCAGACACGGGCACACATGCATGACACAGACGCGTACACACAGACGCACCCACATACACACATACACACACACACACACACACACACACGCACCTGCAAACATAATGCGCTCGGAAAGCACCCGCATCTCACCCGCGTCTCCCTCTCATCCCCTCACCTATCCCTTCTCCCTCTCCTTCTCGCCTGCACTCGCTCGCGAACCAGGCACAAACAAACGTGCAGCCGCGCACTCCCACAGAGACACCCACATACAATCCACACTCACACACGCATCACACGCAGGTAAGAGAGGGAGAACACGTGGACCAGACAACGCTAGTATACACCTAGCGCGTTCAACTCCTACACATCATACGTTCACGCATGTACACTGTAAAGCCGCGACTGTAGAGTCGCGCCAACACACACCATGCAACGCTAGTGCGCATCTAGGCTCGCATAGCGTGGCAGGCGTAGCATGCTCTTGACACCGTAGCGGGTGCGCGGGGGGTGGTCCTTGAGCGCGGTCTCTATCCGTCATAGGGTCGCGGGGCGTGGCAGGCGGGGCACTTCCTCGACACCAAAAAGGTTGCGCAAACGGTGGTCCCTGTACGCGGTCTCTAACCGTCATAGGGTCGCGGGGCGTGGCAGGAGCGGCACCTCCTCGACACCGCAACGGGTGCGCAAGGGGTTGTTTTTCAGCGCGGTCTCTATCCGTCACAAGGTTGTGGGGTGTGGCAAGCGTGGCACATTCTTGACACCGCAAGGGGTGCGCAAACGGTGGTCCTTGTACGCGGTCTCTATTCGTCATAGGGTCCCGGGGCATGGTAGGCGTGGCGCCTCCTCGACACCAGAGGGGTTGCGCAGAGGGGTGGTCCCTGAGCGCGGTCTCTATCCATCACAGGGTCGCGGGGCGTGTCAAGCGTGGCATTTCCTTGACACCGCAGGGGGTGCGCAAACGGTGGTCCTTGTACGCGGTCTCTGTCCGTCACAGGGTCGTGGGGCGTGGCAAGCGTGGGATTGCCTCGACCCCTGGCCATGGTCGCTGGGCGTGGCATGCGCGACACATTCTCCATACCGCAGCGGGTGAGCATGGTGTCGGGGCGCTATGCGTGTCAGGGCCGCGCGGCGTGGCAGGCGTGGCACGTTCCCGACTCCACAGGACTCGCGCGGGGGTAGGGGCGCCATGCGTGCCAGGGTCTGCGCGCTGCCCGAGGACTCTACGCAGAAGGGCACGGCACATTCTCGACACCGCGAGGGGCGCGCAGGAGGTGATCCCTGAGCGCGGCCTCTGTCCGTAACAAGGTCGCGGGGCGTGTCAGGCGTGGCACTTTCTTGACACCGCAAGGGGTGCGCAAACGGTGGTCCTTGTACGATCCGTCACAGGGTCCCGGGCATGGCAGGCGTGGCACCTCCTCGACACCAGAGGGGTTGCGCAGAGGGGTGGTCCCTGAGCGCGGTCTCTATCCGTCACAAGGTCGCGGGGCGTGGCAGGCGTCGCACTTTCCTGGCTCCAGAGGGCGTGCGCAGAGGGGTGGTTCCTGAGCCAGTCTCTAACCGTCACAGGGTCGCGGGGCGTGACCGGCGTGGTCCCTGGGCGCAATCTCTATCCGTC